TTATTATATATATATATATATATATATATATATATATATATTAGCCCACNGAAAAGGGTGGGNTAATCTGTTTGTCATTATTTTTTGTTTCACTCACTGGCCAGGGTTTCTCTCATTCTTTTGCTACTACTACTGCGTAGAGCGCAGAGAGAGAGAGAGCTCTGCCTCAGCAAAAATGGCAGAAACCCTAAGAATTCAGGCCCCCTCTTCTGTGGGTTTCTGCAACATGCATGGGTACCCTAGGTCCCTTCCCAGGACCCTCCTTTTCAAGAATTTTGCAGGCCTTCGACCCCAATTGATGAGAGCGTCATCAAATTTGATCCGTACTGGAAGCTGTACTAGAAGTCGGGGTATCTCTTATTTCAAAGGAAATTGCAGACTATCAGTTATCGCCATGGCTTCTGAAGGTCAATAATCTTCCTTCCTTCTTATTCTTATTGAGCTCCATTTCTGGAAAATTGCCTCCAGAATGATGGTAAATGAATAAATAAATATTTCTGGAAAATTGCCTCCGGTGGTAAATGAATAAATACATGCACTAAGGAAAAAAATGAATAACAGCCGCTGAAGAAAGATGTTTATAATTTACGAGCTACTCTCTGGAATCGGTTTAGTGACAGAATTGGTAAATGCTAGATGTGTTTCCTTCCATCTTTTGTTATGATATTACTTGTGTTGGGTGAATTCTTGTGCTGTCTTTGGGTACTTTACAAATAAGTAAACGCAAATTTGTTGAGTGACAGCAGTTAATTCCAAATTAGATAGATTCTACTGTTTAGTTTTCCTCTAATTATGTAAATGTTTCCAGACTAAGTTTTGTTCCGTCGTTGTAAGAGATTTTACCAATTATAGAGTTAACATGAATTTTATAATTTAAAAAATTTGAAGGGGGTTCACTGTTTTCCCCTGAATTTGGCAATAGTTTGCACATGTTGTGTTGGTACTGGCCATATTTTCTGAATTTTATGAAAGTTTTGTGCTGTTGCTATGAACGTCAGTCTTGAATTTTAGGTAATTATGAGTGTAGCTGTTCTTCATAAGATGGACAATCAGTTTACCACATTGTACTTTTGGACACTCTATTTGTAAAATTTTCATTTCATGTATCTTTTTGGTTTATGAAAATTAACTATGGCTTTATTCAAGCATCACTGACTTGTCCTATGTTGCTTAGGATGATGGTTATAGCGACAACTTTTGTTAGGTGTTTGTTTGTTTTTATTTTTTGACTTGATTTTCTTGGGGGCCTTCTCAGTTTGGTATACTCTTGTGTTACTCCCTTAAAGAATGTGGCCTTATTGTATTGTAAATTTGGACCCAATATACTCGTACCCTACAATGCAAGCCACGAGTTTTCTTCCTTATACTGATGGATACGTTTCAGTTGACCCAACAAGCATGTATTCTGCTAATATCTGCCGCCCCATTGTAGCATCCATGTATGACCCCTCAAACAAAACAGCCCTTTTCCTTTTCAAATGTGTGTGTATGTGCGCGTGCATGCATATTTTGTGTATCAGGTAACTAAATGTTGGATACAATTCAAGGGCCTCCTGTAAAGTCTCATATTGCTGTTGAAGAGGCATGATTAACTTTGGACTTTCAAATTGGACTAGTACACTAACACTACTAGTTGTTAATATCCTAAGGAGAAAACGAGTTGGATTTAATTATAAATGCACTACATTTGCAGCAACAGGTTTTATCAGTTGAGATGCTCTCAACCATGTGAAAACCATGATTTGATTTTTCTCAATTATAAATTTTTAGTTCGACCAACGAAACCAATGTAATTTATGACTTCAAGTTTATTGATAAATAACTTTCCTCACCCTGGTATCTCCATATTACTGTTGACATTTAAGGCTAAGAAAGGAAAGCTATAGTTTGGAAGCAAGGTATGAGTCATAACTAGAACTTTAAGGGACATTTTGGGCCGTGCCTTTAGGTTTTTTTTTCTTGTACTATTATAGAACAGGGGAACCATATATATATATATATATAAGTTAGTTGAAGGAGAGGCTCAAATAGGGCAAGGGGTAGGCCCAAAAAGACATGATTGGAAGTAGGGAAAAAAGATATGGGCTCTTATGGCCTCATTGATGGTATGACCTTTAATAGAGCAGAATAGTGGACTAGGACTTGTATAGCCGATGCCAATTAGTTGAGAAAAGGCTTTGACGACGACGATGATGATAAGTAAAAAGTTTATATAAGGTTGCACCCTTTTTTTTGTTTTTTTTGAGAATGTTAACTTTGTATTAATAAAAAGGAATTTACATGAAGAAAAAGCTATCTATGGCATCCCACATATTGGGTGCTCAAAATACTATGTAAAGAAACAGAAAGAGCAAATATGCTCAGGGGGAGAGAGACTACATCCAAAAAAGGAGAAAGAAGTGAGTGTTCAAGGTAAAGAGTACAATGCTAGTGGAAGAGAGAAACAAATGTAAAATGAGGATGATGCTGAGGAAGTCCTCAAAATTATATGGTGGAGTTTGCTGTTTTGTCTATGTTTTAGTTGGTGAGCAGCAGCTAAGATGGGCAAGATGCTTGTGGGGAGAGTTGCAGATGCTTGAAATCAGTAACCCGAGAGGCTAATTGTTTAAGTCCTTGCTCGCTAGCAGTCTGCTGTCTTCAGCGATGTAGAAGGCCGAAGATCTTGTAGTAATCGACGATGGGGAAGCAGGTGAAGTTGGTATCTGAGAGACTTGTTCAAAGTCTGGGGGCATGGAGGCTATGAAAGAAAGAAGAATTGAAGAAGAGAAGAGGAGCAGAGACCATAAGTTAATGAGGCGATAGAGAAGCTACAAGAAGCAAAGAAGATATGCTTTTTATTTTTCTTAGTAGGCAAACTAGAGGAGAGAGGAGGTGAGTGAAGGGGGTTGCAAGGAGCAGAGGGATAAGGGAAAGAGCATATGATTGTCTGAGGGGGTATGAAGTGGAGAAGAAGACACAGAAGAAATGATCTGATGGGGGAGAGAAGAAGAAATGATCTGATGGTTGATGAGAGACGAGGGGTGAAGACAAAGAAAAAGAGGTAGAAGAAAATTGTTGTACGTCATTTTTGACGTACTTACATCCCAAGTGCAAATAAAGAGAGAGCCAGTGACGATCTGGTCTTGCTGGTACCCAAGACATCGTCAGACTAAGAGAACACTGCACAATAAGCCTAACACTTGGCAACTTTAGAAAAAGTACTATCACACCACAAAGAGACCTTATAACTACAGCCCTATGATTGGGGCTTCAAAACAGTACCAGACCACCATCGTTGCATCTAGAACGTTAAAAAACCCCTAGGGACCAAATTTGGGCTCAATCGGACCTCCCAGGAACATTTTGGGCCCAAATTACCTCGAATGGGTAGGTTGTATACTATTGTGGTATGGCCTCACCGAACTAGTCCCCAATCATGGAGGCCGTGATCTTCACATCTCGAGATGACCTGCAAACACCCACATGTCGCTCGTTTGGAGTGGGAGCAAGCTCAAATTCAGACACAAGTTAAGTCTTGACGACCCGGTCATTTTGGCATATGGCATGCGTCGTGACATGACCTAGAATCAAAGTTTTTTTTAGAGAGAAGATGAGCTAGAAACCATGAAAATCAGAGGTTTTGAAGAAAAGACATCTCGAACTTCGTAAAGCAATAAACTTGAGATCTGTACATCGGATCATCGTAAAGACAAGTCCGATGAGACCGTATCAAGAAGGGCTACAAGTTGGTATAACTGTTACACTCAATCTAAGGTCAGATAAATCACAAATTCCAAGGATGAAGAAAACAAGATCACTTGGTCGTCGGAATCCCTTTTTCTGGCGATCTCCCGAAATCAGAAAGTACTTCAAGCAAGAACCAAAACGGATAAAAATTGGTGCAAAACGACTGTGGATGTCTTCTCTTTAATTTGCAATCAAAATAAAGACTCGAAACACCATGGATTGCGTTGTATTGATGGCCAAAAGTTCACGATCTAGCTGGATTTCTACTCCTTGGGAAAAAGTCCGCCTCAAGACGATTAAAAGACTCAAACTCTTCAGAATCAACAAGCATCAAGACTACGATGATCGATTGTCTAAATCACCGTCACAAGCATCCGAAAAAGCTTCCAAGATCTGACATTGGCGAAAGGCCCCTTAGAGAGGGACGGTTTCGTCATTAGCATAAAAGGTTTAAGGGGCATTTTGGTCTTTATTCCTAAATTCGGGATTTTATTGTAATTTATTTTAATTGTTTTTAAGCTTAGTTTTGAGCATCCACCCCTGTTCGATGGGTCCTCTATATAAACAAGCTTAGGTCAATTGTAAAAGGGCCGGATCATTCATTAATGAAATAGAGACATTAAGCTCGTTTCTACTCGTTTTTTGTTGGATACGATGCCAAAGAGAGAGAAACTACCCCTAGCCCACCTTAGTCGTGCGGTTTCGTTCTCTCTCTCCCTCTTCTTTCTTTCTTCTCTCTCTTCACTCGTTGCTTGCCTTGCGCAGTAATTTGTGACTGCGGAAAGATGCATGGTCCCGTCCCTTTCCCCCTTCCATCTCTAGCATAAACGCAGCAAGCCTGTGGCATCACATAGCGTCCTGCTATTCGACATACGCTTGATTAAAAACCTTTCAGAGTCAGCCCAAGGGTTCCAACCCTCAGACCATCGCTCTAACTTTCTCTCAGTACAGTCGAGTTGAGTTGTGAGAGACGTATACGCTCTCTCCCTCAGTCACTTGGGAGGAGTCTGTCTGAGACAAGATTCGAGAGAGTTTGAGTCCTACGGTTGCCCTGATCGCCTGAGCGCATAGCGCTTGCATGGATAGGGGGGTCCTCGCCACCTTTCTCTCTTATCCATTCTTTTTGTCAGCCAGCCCTTGTTCGAATGAGTCACTATAGAGGAGTTGGACAAAAACCCCTATCGGGCGTTCAAGTCAGGCATGGAGTAATTTAGATGCACTCATGGCAAGCTTCTAGACTCATCCCTTATTCCTCCTCTTGAGGAGATAAAAGATAGGTGTAAAAGTGTAAACAGAGGAAGCATTGGGAGCAAAGAGAGAAAAGAGAGTCATCCCATACATATGTTAAAAAGAATTACAAAAATTTGGACGGGCCTCAAAAAGTCCATAAAATCGAAAGAAGCCACTAAAAATGGTCAAGAGCATCGCGCATCTTTTCCTTCAGCTCCTGTGCCCGCTCCTGCGCAACCTGTTTTCGCTCCTCGAGACGGGAAATGTCGTTAGTGACTGCCTTGGACAAATCAAGGACCACCCTCGTCTCGGAACTCAGCTACTTCAGTTGTCGAGACTTTTGGAGTATCACCTCCTGATGCTGGCTCCGTCGGGTCTTCAAATCAGCCGCGCAGACTTGCAACATCGCAATCTCATCCTCTATAGCCAGGATCTGGCTAGAGAACCCGTC